TTAGAGATATTCAAATATTTTTTCTTATATGAGATGGAGATGCCTCTTATTAATAATTTCCAGTATTGGTATAATTTTACTTTCCCAAAAACTTGGGGAAATTCCATTTAGTCCTCAGTTATTTTGCCTTTTTCTGTTTCCAGGCATCTTGAGACCATCTATCTCCTCCCATTTGCTTGTCATTCTTACAGATCTTTACTTAACAAAAGTTAACACTTTCTTTTAATTTACATGTACAAAGCACATCATATATGAGCAGACTTCAAAAGCTTCTGGAAATGTAATTAAAACTAAGTTTCCTTCTGCTGCAAAAAAAATTAAATCCACGCATATGAGAGCTCTTTCAAAAAGATCATGGAAAATGCATATAATGGCAAAACTGCATTGTGTAGACAGTAGGCCTCCAAAGTATTAGAAAGTTGGTATTCAGAGTTTGCACTTTCACCATGTCAGTTTTCCATTCCCAACACTAGGTGCATGGGCTCTATAAAGAAAAATAGCAAGCACTCAAGAAAAAAGACAGCATGTAACTTAGAAAATACAGCACTAGGTCAGAGCGGTAGTTTCCCTAAAAGACAAGGTTGGTGATGAGGAAATTGGATGCTGAAGCTGAAGTGGCCAACACAAAGCATTGCTGGAAAGCTGGAAGTCACACCTTGCTCATTGTGACCACCCCAAAGATGAAGTCATTAACCAGTTGTTAGTTTTGTGAGTAAGCATGGACATTAAGAAGTAAGGAGGCATTTCTTTAACACTTGTAAGAATTGCTGGAATCCAGAAATCTTTAGAAAGGTAGAATGGATGTAAAGAAGAATTGTGTCATCTTTGTCTTCATCATCTACCCCGTAATAGTTCCCAGGGTTCTAATTCATAAATCCCCATTATGATCGTGTTGCTGGGATTAATAAACGCTCAGAACTTATACCAATAGATCTGGTACAAGTAAAACTGTATTGCATCCAAAGGGTATTAATAAGAGTGAATAATATAAAAGATGATATAGCTGCTTCTTGATAAAAGAATTTAAAAATAGAGAAATGGAGCCTGGCGTGGTAGTCTAGCGGCTAAAGTCCTCACCTTGCACACGTTGGGATCCCATATGGGCGCCGGTTCTAATCCCAGCGGCTCCACTTCCCATCCAGCTCCCTGCTTGTGCCTGGGAAAGCAGTCAAGGATGGCCCAAAGCCTTGGGACCCTGCACTCATGTGGGAGACCTGGATGAAGCTCCTGGCTCCTGGCTTCAGATTGGCACAGCACCAGCCATTGCGGTCACTCGGGGAGTGAATCATCAGATGGAAGATCTTCCTTTCTGTCTCTCCCCCTTCTGCATATCTGACTTTGTAACGAAGAAGAGGTAAATCTTTTAAAAAACAGAAAAATATTTGTTCTGAGATTGGAAAGGATGGGGAATTTTTGTTTTGCAGCAAAATTAAAGAAAAAATTGAAATGGGAAATACGTCCTAGAGGAAATAGACCCTGTGTGGAACAGTAGACTCCTCCAACTGGCATATAGAAAAGACACCCAGAAGCACACTTTGTGAAATGCAACAGAGATGGGGAGAGTGGGAGCAAAGGCTTTGTAGAGCTGATAGAGCCTAACCAGCAAGCAGTGTACAGTTAGCAGAGCCCGGGGTTAAACCTGACTCCAGTCTCTGTTTACAGCTACTTGCTAATGTGGCTCTAGCAGGCTGCAGGTGATGGTTCAGATCCTTGAGACCCTGCTACCTGCCCACACAGGAGAACCCAGTTAAGATTCTAGCCCCCAGCTTTGGCTAGCTCCACTGTTGTTGGCATTTGGGAAATGAACCGGGATATAAGAGAACACTGTCTGCCTCTGTGTTTCAAAGCATATATTTTAAAAAGTTTAAAAAAAAAACCACATATTAGCACAAGCAGGTAAAGGAAGAATTATAAATTAAACCTAATGCTGAGTATTTGTCCTTGACGGCTTGAGAATTACCAACCAAATTAGAAGAACAAAAGAATAGTTAAGAAGGAATAATATTAAACTGATATTAATATTAAATAATATTAAATCTCTTTGTTGGGCCTGGCGCTGGTGGCACAAGTGGTACGCCCGGGATCCCATATGGACGCCAGTTCTATCCCAGCAGCCCCGCTTCCCTTCCAGCTCCCTGCCTGTGGCCCGGGAAAGCAGTCGAGGACGGCCCAAAGCTTTGGGACCCTGCATTCGCATGGGAGACCCGGAAGAGGCTCCTGGCTTCGGATCGGCATAGCATCGGCCGTTGTGCTCACTTGGGGAGTGAATCATGGGACGGAAGATCTTCCTCTCTGTCTCTCCTCTCTGTATATCCGCCTTTCCAATAAAAAAATAATAAAATAAATCTTAAAAAAAAAAAAACTCTTTGTCTGGAGTTTCTGTGAATCTGAGTTTCTACAACTGGACAACCAAGTCTTTGGGAACAGAACATGTATTCAATGAATTATAAAGGGCATAAGTGCTACTGCTGAAGCACATATTCAATATTTTTTTTAACTTAGGAAAATTATTATTTTGATTGAAGTAGGAGGGACCAAGGAAACTCTATGAGGAAAAATGCATTTTGGCTAATGCAGAAAGTTAAAAGGATCTTCAATAAGTGAATCAAGCGATACAACTGGAAGAAACCGTGAGAGCAAGTGAGCAGGAATGGTGTTAGTCCCAGGATGAGTGAACGGGAGTGATGAATGTGTGCAGGGAGCAGAAGGGATCAATTCAAAACAATGTTAGGATAACAAAATAGTTTCATGTCTTATCAAGTTTTGGGCCTTAAATAACAACAACAACAACAAAATGATATATATAATATGGCTAGGAGTCGTGCATTCTTCACTGGTATAAGTTCACTTAATTTGCAGTCCTGAGGTGGGCCACATTATTACGATAGTTCTCTTAATGAGGAACATGAAAAGCACAGAGAGAGGTATGAAAGCCAAAACATTGGCCAACAGGAAAGTCAAATTTAATTTCAGAGTTTGTCTCCTGCGTCCCATGACCTTGTATGTGATATCATCTTGTGCCTCTAAATGATATTGGGCATTCATTAAATCTTGAGTAGCAGAGTTCCATGAGCCGATAAGGATTTTGAATGATCGCATAGGTAGCTTCAGATGTCAAACATCCAGCAGCAGGAGAGTAGGAGTAACATATATGAAAGGATCTCAATAGTATCACAGATAGAATTAAAATATAAGTTTACTTTGGTTCCAAATTCATAATTGTATTTTTCATGAATTTTTTAAGGACCCTTCATGCTTTACTCCATTCTTTCCCAGTGGTAATTTTCCCCATAGCACCTTGGCTATATTCACGCAATTTTTGGTAAAAGCTATAATATGGTGATTGTAATCTGAATCCAGTGGTATTGCTCAGTTCCATAAGTTAGATGATCTTAAATGCTCTGTCAGTGCTTAAAGAAGGCAAGTGCTAATGAGAAAGTCAGCACATCACTTCATCAGTGAATGCCGAATGTTAAAAAAACAGAAGCAAAAGAGAAACTAAGATAGCATGAAAATAATGGAAGAAAACCACATACATTTTAAGCCAGCAATAATTGAGTCCTTTTGTAGCTGGTAATAATTTCCAAATAAAAGAAGAAGGTGCCTCATTACTTGCCTTGGAAACAATGATCTGAAGATTTGGACAAAGCTTGGAAGATATGGAAGCAATTTGTTAAGATCCCCAGGGGAGGATTTGGGCAACACATCCTTTCTATTTCTGACCCAATATCCTAATGAAATGTCCCCTGTAACGCTCCAATTTCTTCCTTCTAACCTTTTCAACAGAAACCCCATCCATTGTCTTATTCTGATCACTTATGAATAAGCCACCATGTAAAAACTGTTCCTTAGTAAATCATCCATGTATTCTGGACTGCTTAATTAGGCAAGAACTGTGATGACTGTTGAAGGCCGCAACATATGAGGGTAGAGAACATGGATGATTACGAAGAACTGGATGCAGACCGCAATTGCCAAATACCCATCTGAGTTTGCAGGCACTGATGTGGAAAAGAAGTTTGCCCATTAACACAGAAAACAAACTAAATTTAAAATAGTTCTAAGCTGTATGTAACCTAGAAAAAGTTCCTGTTTTCTCTGTCCTCGTGATTTTCACCACCTTTACCCTCATCTTGTCCCATATGCTCCACCAACTTTTGGTATAAGTCCAGGACCTGGAGTATAACTAATTCATTTGGAGGGGGGATTTCCTTCATTTCCTCTAAAGGAAAAGAAGCAAACACATAAAAATCCACACATGCACAGGCATGCGTGTGTGCAGAAGCACACGTACACTTACATATCCCGGGCTTCATTCCTCCAGTGAGAGGCAGAACAACTTCAGACTGCTATTTTCCAGTCACACACACACAAAACCAATGGGATTGGTGCTCCTTTACAGGCAGTAAATATAATTATTGACTCTTAGAGAAAACAGGAAGATTTCTTTTTTTTAGAACATGTATTTTAAGATGTCTCAGACCAATGGAAATTAGATGACTTCTTCACACATCTGTATTTGGCAAAGCTCTCTTGTGTTCCTTCACTGTCTTCCTATTTTCTATATCCTTTCGGTATATGAGCAAAGCACTGGTTTGAGGCAAATGCTTATTTTTGTCTCTGCTTGCCACCAATTCTAATGGCAATTTAACAATATAACAAGATACATCATCTGGCATAATGCATATCACAGGCAAATGATATTTTTTGCTAAAAGTATGACTAAACAATAAAGCAGAGCTTGACAAAACTGGCTTATTTTTGCAGGCTGGGTATGTCATTTAATATGCATAGTAGGTATTTGGCAACCATACTCTCTCTTTCCCCGAATTCTATAATGTTGCCAGGCTCTCATTATCCTGAGAAAAAGTAATTAAGACTGAAGGAGGGGCTGTGCCTAGAACTGGATGGCTTCAGAGCCCGACAGCCAGGGGAAAGGACACGTGGTTCATGCACAACGAAAGCCTCCTGTGGGGATCCTCCTCACCATCCAAGCTCACCTTCTTCCACTCCGGTGTCTTCTTTCGCAGTCTCTGGTTGTGATCCTTGACGTTTGGAGGAGACTGGGGTATGATTCTTCTGATCAGTAGTCTGAGATTCACTTGTCTCTTCAGGTTTTGTTTCTGCATTTATGAAAACAAAAATAGGCATTTTGTATTTTTCCCACATAAAAAGAACATCACTATTTGTAAGTGGGCATCAAATGGTAAGGAGTTTCTCTTACACTCCTCTCCACTCATCTTTGGGATATACATATACATACATCATGCAGATTAGGCACATTATGTAAACTAGTCACCATTTCAAATATTTTCACTAAAATCAATCTTTTAGTTCAATTTTTATAAAACTGTGTGAAGTGCCTTCAAATACAGAATAAAATGCAATAATATATTTAGTGTTTAAGAACTAATAACACAGATTTCCACTTAGTGACTGGCATTGCAGTATGAGTCTTTACTGTCCTATGCAGTCTTAGCCCTGTCTCTCCCTCTCTTTATCACTCTGTTTTTTAAAATAAACAAATGAAGCTGTAAGAGAAAATAAAATTACAATAAGCAACACATTTGTGGCTCATGTTATACTTTGCTCAAAACCAGCTGGGATGAAATTTTACTATTTTTTTTAACTTTTATTTGAAATAACTAAAGATTTTAAGGAAGTTGCCAAGAAATGCACATGGATGACACATACCCCTTCATCCAGGTTCCCCCTTTCCTTTTCACCCTGAGTTAATTGTGCTATGGTATCAAAACCAGGAACTTGACATTAATAAAATCCATAGCAACTGAGCAAATACACAGCTTTTAAAAACAGACAATAAATAAACAAAAAAATGGATTGAAATATTCTGAAGTCAGAGTTACAGAGACAATAGAGAAGCACATTGAGATAAATCTTCTATCTGATTCACTGTACACAGGGCCGTAACAGACGGGGCCAGGACAAAGCCAGGAGACAGGAGCTCCATCCAGGTCTCTCGGAGGAGTGGCAGGGGCCCAAGCACTTGCGCCATCTTCTGCTGATTTTCCAGGCTATTAGCAGGAAGGTGCATTGTAAGTGGAACATCCATGATAGGAATTAGTGCCCATATGAGATGCCAGTGTTGTGTTAACCTGTCATGTCAAAATGACAGCACCAGATTGATCCTTTAAAACTCTTCAATCTACCTCTGATGATGAGATATTTTACTTTCTATTCACCTATTTAACAGAAATATTCATCAAAATGTATTTATTTATTTATTTATTTATTTATGTACTTTTTAAAGATTTATTTATTTTTATTGGAAGGGCAGATATACAGAGAGGAGGAGAGACAGAGAGGAAGATCTTCTATCTGATGATTCATTTCCCATGTGGCAACAATGGCTGGAGCTGTGCCAATCTGAAGCCAGGAGCCAGGAGCTTCAGCTGGGTCTCCCATAGGCATGCAGGATCCCAAGGCCTTGGCCCGTCCTCCACTGCTTTCCCAGGCCACAAGCAGGGAGCTGGAGAGGAAGCAGAGCTGCTGGGATTAGAACCGGTGCCCATATGGGATTCCAGGCATGTGCAAGGCAAGGACTTTAACCACTACACTATCGCGCCGGGCCCCAAAAACATATTTATGAAGGCAAATATTTGATCTAACAACTACAACACAACTCAGGATGCCCACACTGCATATCCAAGCGTGTGCCTTCAAGATCCAGTTCTACTCCTAATTCCAGCTACCTATGAATAAGCCCCATGTAATGAAGCTGGAGACAGCTTAAGGTTATGTTCTTACATTCTTGGCTTTAGGCTGGTGTAGCACTGGCTGTTGTGGGCACTTAGGGAATGAACTGGCAGATGGGCAAGCTGTTTCCATGTCTTGCTGACTCTCCTGTTTTTTGTTTGTTTTTAATCTAAAGTAAAACTGATCTAAAAATTTTAAATATAGTTATGTTCACATTCCTCATGGTAGATGTTACTCCAGGCATGTGGAACACTCAGCTTGTACGCTTCTAGAGAAAATATAGCAGGTGCTCTCTCTATTCATTTTTAGAGGACAAAGGGTGTTCTCCTGTTCACTTCCTTAGTACCTCTGTAGGTATTAAGGTAGTGGAACAGTGTTTCATAGAGTTGAGATGGCAGGCAAATTGCCTGGTAACCTTTCTGACCTCACTCTCTACATAGGCAATTCGGGTATGATATTTAGCAGCTGTTCAAGCTGTTGATGTGAGGACTAGCTTCATTATCTAAAACATTTAGAACCTGGTCCAGAGTGAGTATTCAACAATATGATCCACCTTTGTTGCATAAGAGCAGACATGACTTATATCTATTATGTTAATCATTCCCTTGTTTTACTTGTTTTTGTATATGTTGCAAATGTTCATAAAGATTTATTTTTGGAAGTAAAAAAATTATTAATGTGTGTAGTATAATGTCATATTCTTCATATATTTCATTTCCAACATTTCCAAAGGGAGAAAAAAAATCACATACTTCTATTTTTGTTCTTTTTGAACCAACAACAGACCAGACAGCTCAGAGCCAGCCATGAGGCCACTGAGCACAGTGATGCAGCCAGGATGATGGTAGAGCTCTCCTTCATGGTCATTGGCAAGACAGCAAATTTTCTGGATCGAGCTGTAAAATTGACTCCTATAAAAATGAATGAATACATAAATAAATAAAACTAATCATCTACTTGTAGTGTCTAACACAAAATAGTGACTGACACAACATGGATGTTCAGTGACTACTAAGTTGAAAGACTAGACAAAAATTAATAACCAATTCAACATTTATATTTCTAAGGAACTATAGCATTCCCAAAATAACCCCTAGTTCTTCCTGATTCTGTCAACTACTGATAGGTAATTCTTACAGTGATCACTTGTCATTCTCAGACCCACCCTCTGCTGCATTGGAAAACTGAGCCTAGATAGTCTTCCATTAGAAGAAAAAAATCTTCTCAGATCTAGCATATGTGGAATTAGCTGCTTTGACATATGTGTCTACTTAAAATATGGCATATATCACACCCAAACATGAGTGTAGAGACTCCTATTAGGAGACTAAGAGACTTTATAACATGCAAAAAGTTTTAGTTATCTGGAAAACCATGAGTAAAAGATAAACAGAGCTACTTGGGCCATTGATAATGGAAGAAAATGGAGCCCTTCTTGTCTAAGAATTCAAGGGAAACTCCCCCACTTTTTGTAGACTAAAAAATTTGGTTCTTATCTCATTACCATCTTGGATATAGCCAGAAAATAATCTTTAAAAACCTTTATTGATACACACAAAAGCCTGTACATAAAGTTTATAACAGCTTTATTCACAGTGACTAGAACCCAAAAACAATTCAAATTTATTTCTTGATAAGAGAGTGAGTAAATTCACCATGTTTTACTGGGGAGGGGTGGAGAAAAAAAGATTAATAATTGAGAATGGCTAGGAAGGACCTTGAAGGCACTACAGTGCATGGAGAAATCCATCACTATAGGGTATATATTATATAATCCTATTTCTATGAAATTCTAGGAAAAAAACTATACAGATGGCAAACAGATCATTGGTTTCCAGAGGGGAGAATAAGGGTAGGGAACAGAGGAATGCCATGAGAGTAAATTTTTGGCTGACAAAAGTGATGTGTATTCTAATTATCTGAGTGGTTACACAAATCTATACACATATTTTAATTTTATGGATAAATAGCAAAAGGTACATTTTACAGGTTAATTTTATCTTCAAAAATTTTAAGACCTACCCACCATTTGGTGAATGGTGAATATATTTATTATCTTAATTATGATGATTAATTCACAGTAGACATTCATTAAAATTAACCAAATGATTTGCTTTAAATCCATGTTACTATACCCCAATACAAAATATTTAAAGTTAAAACTAGAAAAAAGAAACTCACTATGAAAACAATGCAAAAGTTAGCAGAATCAAATGGGATCTTCCTGGTAAACCCAGACAATCAATAGGGAGGAGATTATGAAGAAATTCTTTTGCATGGTTATCTAACATAATTAATCACAAATGATTGCCACAACAGTCAATAGCACCCACAATATTATACAAAGATGAATTTCTACAAGGACATCTGCTCAGCAAGTTTGATTCAAGTACCTAGGTTACTGCTACCATATTGAAGACCCACACATTTCCTGCTTCCTAGTATCGCTCTGGCCTTTGTGAAGCCATGGGTATCCATTTACAGAAACAATCGGTAGCATTCTCTCTGTGTGTCTCTGTCTCTTTATCGCTCCCACTCCCTCTTTGTGACTCTGACATGCAAAATAAGTGTGTGTGTGTGTGTGTGTGTGTGAGAGAGAGAGAGAGAGAGAGAGAGAGAGAATGAATGAATGAATGAATTACAGAGAGCGGAAAGAAACAACTAGAGAGACGTTCCATCTGTTGGTTCACTTTCCAAATGGCAGCCATGGCCAGAGTTCATCTGGCCTGATGGTGGGACCCAGGAGCTTCTTCCAAGCCTCCCATGTGGGTGCAAAAGCATAGGTTCTTGAGCCATCCTCCAGTGCTATCACAGGGAGCTGGATCAGAAATACAGCAGCTGGGACTCCAATTGGCTCCCCTTTGGGATACTGGCACACAAAACAAGGGTTAGCTTATTATACCACCACTCAGTGCCAATAATTAAACTTTTTTTTATTAAATATAGTAGTTCATTAGAAACAAATACGTGAAATAATTCTAAAGCTTTGCTTTCATTCAAATATTTTAGGTAAAGAGAGAGCTTTTATTCCCATGATCCTACTTTTTTGGGGGGTGAACCTGACATTTGTTTATAAGTAAAAGTCATATCTTACATGTCTTGACTGCCAGCTACCTGTACCACAAAGCTACCATTAAAAATTATTCCCCTGCAATGCATCTCATGTTTGAACCATGTATGACTTATTTATAAAAATTAATTCCCTTTTGTGGACATCTTAATATCAGCAAAGTTCAGAGATGAGAGGGTGGGTTTTACCAGGAAGTTGTAGAAGCAAAAGCAAAATTTTCTTATTTAAAAAAGATATTATTTTACAAAATTCTTTATTCTATGATTGCTCAGTGATTGTTTAAGTGGATAAGTTACTGATCACACTTTTAAGATATTTCAAATTTAGAAAATGAAATAAAATACATATAACAAATTTTGGTGAAATAAAAATGAGACACATGCCAACAAATATTAAAAATCACTTCTTTTCTTTTCTAAGATTTATTTATTTTTATTGCAAAGTCACATTTACAGAGAGGAGGAGAGACAGAGAAGATCTTCTGTCTGATGATTCACTCCCCATGTGGCCGCAACAGCTTGAGCTGAACCAATCCGAAGTCAGGTCTCTTCCAGGTCTCCCATATGGATGCAGGATCCCAAGGCTTTGGGCCATCTTAGACTGCTTTCCCAGGCCACAAGCAGGGAGCTGGAGAGGAAGTGGGGCTGCTGGGATTAGAACCAGTGCCCATAGGGATCCTGGTGCGTTCAAGGTAAGAACTTCATGTGCTAGGCCACGGTGCCAGGCCTCTAAAAATCACTTCTTTAAAAGGTTATTTTCGTTTGATATGATTAGGGAACGCATCCTGGCAAATTGGCTTTGGAAACTCAGCGCGGAAATTATGATGGAAATAATAAAATAGTGATCGATCTTTAAGAAATTAACGCTGTAAGGCCCCAAGCAGTGGCCTAGCATCCAAAGTCCTCACTTAGAAGGCAGTGGCATCCCATATGGGTGCTCATTCATGTCGCAGCTGCACCGCTTACCATCCAGCTCCCTGCTTGTGGCCTGGAAAAGCAGTAAAGGACAATACAAAACCTTGGGAACCTGCACCCACATGGCAGACCTGGAGGAAGTTCAGGCTCCTGGCTTCAGATCGGCAGAGCACTGGCCACTGCGGTCACATGGGGTGTGAATCATCGGATGGAAGATCTCCCTCTCTGTCCTCCTCTCTGTATATATATCTTTGCAATAAAAATAAATAATAAATCTTTAAAAAAAATTAATGCTGTAGAACATGGGCCATTAATGGTGAAAACATACTTGTGAACATTAAATACCAGGCAGGATTTCTGAAGGCAAGGGATTGTCATATAAAGATAAGATTCTACACTGAGAATGAGAAAAGAAATAGAATTTTTATTTTAGAAATTAAAATATGGAGGACATGGTAATCCAGACAGATGTTCTCAATTGAGAAAGTGGCAGAGATATGGAACTCAGGATACTAGCCATGGAGTGAAAGCCTAGAGGAATAACTTCAGCTCTAGAGTGGAGAGCACTGACTATTAGATATTTTATAACAGCAGAATATTGTTTTAACTGCAACATTAAAAATGATCTTTATATATTGATTTTATAAAAATATTATGTGCGCCTATAATACACCAAGCTTTATTATTCTTTAAGAATGTGTTGCTGAACCAAGTGCAATTCTTCTCCACTCTTATGTTCCAAGGCAGGATCTACTACATAAGCTACAAACAAGCCAATGCATAGGTGTTAGCATGTCAGCTATTTGTAAGTGCTATAAAAAAAAAAAAGTGAAGATTGAAATCTAGAGGCTTGGGGAAGGTTTTGAGGACAAAGTGACGCACAAGAGGCCTCCTGGAGGGGTGACATTTGAGATGAAAGCTGGGTAAAGCTTCCAAAGAGCCCTGTGAATCTGTGGGGGAGTAGCATTCCAAGCAGCAAGTGGCAACATGCAGCACTGCTGTGGCTTATGACCCTATGATGCTGGAGAGTAGAGGATGCCTGACTTCTTCCATCTCTTCTCAGACCAGCAGACACTGAGACCCTGAGGACCTTTGGAAAACTCTGTGACACTGGGTACCTTGACCTCAGAAACGACAGTGGATACGGAAAATCCTGAAAACTTACTGTCTACATTTCACATTTACTTTTATAACTTATACCTTGATAATGTTCTGGATAAATCTTCATTATATACCAAGAAAACTAAAGGATATATATATTTTTTCAATATCAGATAAATCTAGGACAAATTATCCATCCCTGCATGTCAGTATAACATATCCATTGAGAAACTAGAATCCCACGGCAAAGGTTCCTGACTTTGAATCTTCATGAATCTATAAGCATATTTGAGCATCTTAAAACGATTGAAATAATATCTGTCAAACAAAATCTACATTTGATAATTACCTAATTTCAAAAGAATCTTTGTTAAGCAAAATGGTCTTGAAGTTAAGGGGAAAAAATCATTGTGGATTTTATCAATGTCATACTATCATTTTTTCAAACAAGTGAATCCAAAATTTATCAGATTCTCCAGAATTTGTTTGATTTAACAGCATTATTAATTAGGGCTTTGATGTATTCATTTCTGTAATACCGACAAGCTAGGAGTGATTTTTGTCCAGTAAAATGCAAGTAATATCCACAGACCCGTAGCATTGGTGGTTATAGTTTCATAGGCTTGCATTCAATTTAGCAAATTTAGTTTAACATTTCTTTCCATTATAACCATTATCTTTTCAATGCTCTTTGAACTATATTTGTAATAACTTGTTGATTAGTGTTGCTTATTTTCATGAAAGACTTAAAAAAATGTTTCACTAAGAATAACTGGTCTCATATAAGCTATTTAAAGACACCCTGTAACTATCCTTACTAAGGTATTAGTAAGTATGATCACTATTTTCAGTAGGGAAGGAGAGGATGAAGAGAGAAGGATTCAGTTTCCACAGTGCACAATGACACTTGTAAGTTGAAAATTTGTATCTTATGACTCTTAAAAGTCAAAGTTTTCTAGTTAATATCCAATCAAATGTTATTAAAAAGTTGAACTCTCAGGCCCAGCATCATGGCTCAATGGCTAAATCCTCACCTTGCAAGTGCCAGGATCCCCTATGGGCACCAGTTCATGTACCCCGCTGCTCTACTTCCCATCCAGCTCCCTGCTTGGAAAAACAGCAGAGGATGACCCAAAGCTTTGGGACTCTGCACTGGCCTGGGAGATCTGGAAGAAGCTCCCGGCTCCTGGTTCTGGATTGGCTCAACACCAACAGTTGCAGCCACCTGACAAATGAGCCAGCGAATGGACAGTCTTTGTATCTCCTCTCTGTAAATTTGCCTTTTCAATAAAAATAAGTAATTTTTTTTAAAGTTCAAGTCTCAAAGTAAATTTTAGTATCTAAAGGAGAATATGTCCTTGTTCTTGTTCAACAAGGGTCTTCTCTGAAGCTTAATTTCCCCATGTGTTCTTTCTTCTCATACCATAATGACAGCGTCCAATGGATTTTCCCTTTAAAGCAGAATGACTTCTTATTTTGATAGGATTCTTCCCATTGTAACAGAGAAGGTTTTGTTTATTTGTTTTAAAGAAACATAATAAAAGCCTATTGTGCTGAAATTACCTGGAGGAGAAGTCACAGTGAAAATAAAGTGCCAGCTTGACCCAGATATTGAGATTGCCAAGTTGGAGAAACTTACATAACCATCCTGAGTTTCTACCTGAGTATATCCTAGAAGCAAAAGAAAAGAAAGAAAATAGATGTTAGTTTTCTGTCCAACAAAGTCCTTGAATCTTCTCTGAAGAGATGCAGCTAGACAAATAAAAATACTTTTATTCTTTAATTCAAGAGTTTACTTAATCCAGTTTACTTCTTAGACTAAATCACTCAAGACAGAATACTAGCAGGTAGCACATGCTGAAAGTTTACTTTATCAAACAGGGCTCCATCCTTATCATGGCATACAAATACCCAATTATACTACAAAATATGCTATCATTGGGGTATTTGACCTAGCTTTTTTAAGATGCTGCTTTGAGTGATATTTCATATCAGAGTACCCAAGTTCGAGTACCAGTTATGCCCCCAATCACATCCATCTGTGAATACACATTCTGGGAGATAGCAGATAAGGGCTGAACTACTTGAATCTATTCTTCCATTGTGAAAGCTGGACCAAGCTCCTAGGTGCAGTCTGCATTTGTTGCAGGTACCAGGGGCGTGAACTAGGGGATGGAAGTATACTTTCTGTCCCTAACTCATAAAATAAATATGTATGTATCTTAAATAAATGTTGCAACTTTTTAATGTAGTAATTAGGAAATACTTTGCATGAAGAATTAAATTAATTACTTGGTGCTAGAGTTGCAGAACAAATATGCCAGATTTCAAAGTTGACTTTCTTAAACACCATGATACATAGGCTATTTATACTAAATGAAATCAGAAAGAAATTGTACTGTCTTTTAGATAGTATATTTCTCTCTTCTATTCAGAGAATCTGTAGTTTATTTGGTAGCAGAATTGATAAATCAAGGGTACACCAATTTGTTAAAGTGAGACTAACAAATTACTCTTATTTTTTTTAACTTGAATAGACTGGGCTTGGTTTCCTTGAGTAAAACACAAAAGTAAAAAAAGAAAGCTTGCATTTTATAACAGTAGGCCATCTATTTATAAAGTAAAAGAAGTCAATTTAACTCAGAATGACATTCACAATAGTATTAATTGTCTTTTGATTTGCTATCCTAAATTAGTTTGTCAATTACCAGCTGCTACATTTCAGTTTGAAACGTCACTCTGATTGGTATATTGGTCAAAGAGGAGAGTGGTCTGAGAGTTTGTAAATTGTTTTAATATCTCCAAGGCTGAAAGGTATCATAAAGATATAATATACCTAGTGTTGCATTTTCAATTCAATTGCTCAATCTTTTTGTAAAAACATTTTCTTTCCTCATCAATTTTGCAGAGCTAAGTAAAAGTTCCTTTATGGAAAACATCTTTTTCCTTCATGTCTTCAGAGTCCCCAAATAAATAAAATGCCCAGGAAATAAAGGAAATAAATAATCCAAGACTCAGATAAATGATATACACCCAAGACAAATGCAGTTTAGACTTTTTAAAACCTATATGCATCAAAATTATGGTCAATAAACTCTTACAAACAATGAACTGCAGAATACAGATGTTCAACATGAAATCATTTGCTGCAGTTTTTCCTTTGACAAACGTCCTTATTGTTCCCATCTTTGGAGGAATACAAAGCAGCATTTAATCGAAATGTGTCCGTCAAGCACAGTGAGTTTGCCTCATAGAACAGCCGCCAAACTGCCTAATGGAAAGTGCTTTAGCTTCAAATGGGTTTGCTTTTGCGTTAAATACCAGCTTGCCTTAGAGAGCTCCACAATGATTCCATATATATCTATAATATTCTCAGATTTCAAGCATATGTGCCCAAAAGCTGAGGCAGTTGCTGCCAAGTACAGTACATTACTTGAGGGTTCATCGTATCTTTGAAATCACCATTATGAAAAAAAATACAAATGCCATTGACAGACTCTCTAACCAAGCCCGCATAAACAACGTACTGGGTGGAAGAACTTGGGATAAGGTGGAATTTCTGTTTGCAGTTAAGACTGAAATTGATTGCAAGATCATGAAGCTATGCTACCTGAGTGTCGGTGTGTGAGGTATATAGTGCCTAACACATCTCTACAGCCCAACACATCTTTTCACCTATCCCATTTACAAGCTGTGTATACAAATTGTTATATCATTAATATTGAGATGCTAGTTTAAAAAATAATGATATACTTCTTCATCTATGAGCTACAGTTAAATGGCAAAGGATTTAGAGGATCTGTAAATAATTGTCTTTGATTATCCAAATTCATTTTTATTAATCATCTTTTTTCATTTAGAAGGATCTATTAAGAACAAATGAAATTAAATTGCAAAATACAAGATTGAGACAAGACATACAGATATGATTATTCTGTTGTTACATTTCCCCAACAAATACTTGGTGTAAGCTATGGAATCCATTCCAAATGGTTTTGGTGCAATTCTTTCTGAAATTTAAGGTGAAACATTTTAATATGGCTTCAAAAGAAACTTTCAATCACATGAAATAGGCTGTTTCAATATGATATCTGAAAAATACAAAGCTGTCCATGATTTCTTCCACACTTTATGATGTATACTAAAAAATTATGAATAGAAAATAGTTTTTAACTCATTCCTCTTACTTTTCTAATGGGTCTCTCATAAAGGTCAATGGCCATAATGCTGGCCTAAGTGTGACTGGTATCAGTATACTAAAATGGTAGTTTTATGCCTCCTTCATTTTGCATGTTCATTGTGTGATTCTAGGCTGGGCAGCTGAAAGAAAAGTAATGAAGGATGTGTGTGAGCTATCAGAAACAGGATGAAGTACAGAAACTGAGTGAAAAAACCATATATGAGAAGGTATGGAGTATAGTAAGGTATCTAGTATAGATAATATATAAAACATGGCAAATGGAGTAGGACTAAGGTACAGATTATAAGTAATGCATGGAGCGTAGAAAGTTGAGGCGTATGGTAAATTACAGGGTGTCTTAGGGGTATAATGTGAGTAAGCTATAACATGCTGGTAAAGCAGGGGAACTTAGTAAGTCCCTCAGTTATAAAGTAGAAGACAGGGTGAGGAAAAGTCGTTTCAGCAGTCATTTGAGGTGTCTTTTGCAAATACTACTAGAACATGAAAAATAGCTGGAATTTTATGTTTCTGGTGCTGTTGTACACACCAAGATCAGTAGATAAGCTGCTGTCATATCTTAGGTATTTTCTAATAAGCAGAGGCAACAAAATGAAGAAGTCACAAATGACAAAATCAAAATGCTACTCATAAAGTTGACTGAAGTTCAACTTTCTCATTGTCCAACTTTGGTTTAATCACTACATATATATATAATACTATATATATAGTATTAAGATTTATTTATTCATTTGAAAAACAGAATGACAGAGATAGAGGGAGAATCAGAGAGAGATTCTCCATCTGCTTTGTCTCGCCTCAGGTGGCCACAATGGCCAGGGTTGGGCTGGGCTGAATCTAGGAGCTTTTTGCTGGTTTCCCATGAACCCAAATACTTGGGTCAACTTCTGCTGCTTTCCTAGGCTTTTTAGCAGGGAGCAGGATTTGAGGTAAAGCATACAAGGACCATAATCAGTACCAAATGGTATTCTAGAATAAAAGGCAATGGCTTAGCCCCCATTACCTTGTTTTTAAGGGTATGGTTTATTTCTGCAAATTTGTATGGGAAACATTCGGAGTCATTTTAAAAATTTTAATCCTAAAGAATTTCAGACTTAACTACTTGGCTAAAAAAAAATGACCAAGAGCAAAATCTGTTAGCAATACAGGTGTTACTTTCACCAATATAAGCAAAGATAGAGTTTATTGTACAAGTGGGACTATCGAAGGTATGGAAAGATAAGAGATTTTCATATAATATGCAGCATTATGGGGCCTTTAACATAAAATTATGCAACGTGGAGAGGGTGCTGAGGATAGCCACAAGACTTTGGTAGTTGGGGGAATATTTTGGTGGACAGATTGCAAAAAAAAATTAATTTCTTAATAAGTACATAAATAGGGTAGAGAATATACTGGCCCAAATAGTTGAAAGGCAAGTTAAAAAGAGATGGTAGGCAAACTTACAGCTCTAACGAGAAGCAACAGGATAAGAAAGCTTTAGATAGTAAAGCTTTTGAGATGATAAAGCTTTTTAGTGATGTCTATTGCTTCCTCAAGACCATTTTCAAAAGAAAACGGGTCTGTTGTTCTCTAGAATCAACAAGATGTGCATATACAGGAAAAAAGGCATCAGCTTAAAAAAATTCTGAGATCTGGGATCAATTTATTAAAACCATAGGCAGTAAGCATTAATTAGAAATTACATATTTGGAATTATATATCTATCTTTCCAATATATATTGGAAATAAGTATGAGAAATTTCATTATGACAATGCTATATCTTCATTTTTTTAAAGACAGACAAATCTGAGAACAATATTCTCAGGAATGGAACAGTTTCTAAGCTGTACCTTCCTATCCTTTTGACTAGGTTGTATTTCAAGGGGATTTTGTTTGCTTGTTCCTTTTTTCTAGGAATTAGAATTTAATCCCCCTCCCATAGAAGTATGTTCTAATGCTTGTTTCTCTATAAGTCAGGTCCTAAAATTTATATTTCTGTCCCCATATATAAGGTCTAATTTTGGCATGGCTTAGGAATGTTAATTTTAAATAATATTTATTTTGATTTTCATACATATAAGCTCAAGGATCTGGAAGTAACGCTAAGACTAAGCTAGAAGGTGGGAGGATAGTAGACAAAAATCCAAAAATTAATCCCGAGGGCTTGTTCTGTGTCATGTGCTTTTCGACTTACTCACAAATTTGGTTTCCACACCTTGGGAGGAGAATGCACAAGCCACTTTCAAAACCTACACCACTCCTATAACTGCTATGCACCTCAATTCTTGAAATGTCAATGGAGTAGTCACAGGATGTGGTTAAGAACTTGCATTATTTTTAATAGATTGTTTACTCAATACTATGTCACTTAATACCATAACATTGTATATTGTTGTTGATGTTATGTTGGGGCTTTTGATTGATTGGGATTTTGCTCTGTTGGCTCTACCTACAGACCAGAGAAGGTCTCCCCCAAAAGCCGTTGAACTTATCTGGACAATAAGATGCTGGACTCTATGCTTGGTATATGCTTGCAATAAAGGAATCTTAACTGAACTTGAACTGTGGTCACGCAACAAGGTGGAGGAATCCACCACGGGGGGAGGGTTATGGGAGGGGTGGTGGGAATCCCAGTACCTATAAAACTGTGTCACATAATACAATGTTATTAAAAAATAAATAAAATAATTTTAAAAAGAAAACGCACAAGCCACACGGACTCAGCATTTGCCTCCCTGCACTGCCCATGACACTATGTCAAACAAGGATCTATCACTGAGCAGTGGACAGTCTGTACAATAACTGAAATGTGAGACCCAGACAAAGATCCTACACTCTTCTCCCTGTATCATACAAATATGCTGAAACATGATGAAAACTCTTCATCATGCAAGAGAAGGAAGAGGAGCAGGTGGCCCATTCAGTATTTCCTGTCTGTAGGAAGCATTCCCTTCCTAAATTTCCTTTTCATAGACAGGAGCCGTAAAGATCTGTAAATTAATGACAATCTTTGCAAGTTACCAAAGAAACTGGATTTTCCCTACTATGCTATACATTCCTAATGGATGCAAACATTGCCTTTTTCTTTACAGATAAAGTAACAGTATGAGAAAGGCAGACACTTACCTTTTAGCACTGAATTTGATCTTCCTTCTAAGGAAACTGCAACAGTCCAAGGTTCAGAGGGAGGACCCAAGGATTCCACTCTTCGATTCTGGAAATGTGGAATGGGGAGAGATGGATTCAGAAAATAATTTTGTTAACTTATGTTAAAGAGAAGGCACACATATAGAAGCTTTTTTTGTGTGCGTTCTTAACTATTTATTTAGGAGTGGGAAAGAGAGTGCCCATTCTTTGGCTCATTACCCAATGCTCAAAATGGCTAGCAGCAGGCCTATGCCAGAAGCCAGGAGCTACTGTACATCTCCCACATGGGAGGCAGGAACCCCTCCTTCCTCAGTCATGTGAACCAATACTGCTGCTTGCCTGGTTTCATACCATTAAGAAGCTGGAGCCAAGAACCGAGTCAGACACTCCAACATAGGATGTGAGCATCCCTACTGGTGTGCTATTAGGCATGACTATTACCCCAGAAGCTTCAGAAAGCATATGTGGAAGAGAAAAAAATTAAGCCCAGGAAAATGATGAATAAGCTTTATTAAGAATAATTAACATTGGGACTGGCACAGTGGCTCAACAGTACCAATCCTCCACCTGCAAGTGCCAGCATCTCATGTAGATACCAGTTTGTGTTCCAGCTGCTCCAGTTCCCAACCAGCTCCCTGTTGGTGGCCTGGGAAAGCAGTGGGGGATGATCCAAGTCCCTGGCACCTGCACCCACATGGGAGACCTAAAAGCTCCTGGTTTCAGATCAGCTCAGCTTCAGCCATTGCAGCCATTAGGGGTGTAAACCAGTGAGTAGAAGATATTTCTGTTCCTGTCTCTCCACTCTGTAACCTGCTTACCAATAAAAATAAATCTTTTTTAAAAGTCATAGGTAAACATTAACTTAATGAGAGAAGAGAAGAGAAATGCATTGTTGTAAGAAAGTTGGATCAAGGCAGAAAAGTGGAGGAGGAAAAGCTAAGTTTTTAAGAGTGGCTTGATGTGGTGAATGTAAATATTGAAGGAAAGGCTAAGAGAAGGCAGGAGAGAGACGGATGAATGGCAGAGTAGATTAAACTAGCACATTTTCCTATGCAGAGCTCAGCTTCATGGGATCCTTTCATTCTGTCGATGTGTCAGAGGATGTATTTTAAGAAGAGAAATCTGATTATTAGATCACATTTTATAGTTTTGTCATAAAAATCCTAAATAAAGAAAAGATAATATAGAGTCCTGGGGTGTAGAGCCTGAAATTAGAATAAAGCATAGAAGCCAGTGACTGTGGAAGACAAATGCCACACGTTCTCCATTATAAGTAGAGGTTAAAATTAAGCTGATCTGAAAAGAGAATAGTAATTACTAGACAGAAGGAAAAAAGAGCAGTGGAGATAGAAGGAAGTTGGGCAAGAGGTGTCAAATTAGAGTTAGGTGGAAGAAATAAGTTCTGATGTTCTGTAGCACAATGGGGGTGGCTATTCTTCACAATAAGATATAAAATATGCTCTAAACAGAGGGAAAAAGCTAGAAAGCTTTAATGATAAAGAGAAAGAAATGCTAATTACCTGGAGTTAATGAGTACACACATTATACATATGTGTGAAATATCACAGTGTACCCCAGAAATAGGTACATTATTTTACTGTGATCAAATTAGTTTTAACTGCTTAAGGAACTGGAATATGAACTATTTGAATTGGATACTGCATAAATATGGTATATACATGTTGAAACATAATAGTGTACCACCACAAGATCTGCAATAAAAATCTAAAATGAAGGAGAGAAAATTAAGGCAATACTAAAAATCATTAAAAAGGATTCAAGCAAGAAGCCTCTTGCTGATAGTTGATTTAGTTTCATCTAAAAAAGATAATTCAAAGCAACAGAACTGCAGCGCTTAGGCGCCTTCATATGTTCTTTCATCAGCAAAGCAAGAGATTTCTTCAGATGTCGACACACTTTTTGAGAAGGCTCGATTTCAGAAAAAAATATGAGATATCTACTTCAAAATGCTGTGCAAGTAAAACAATCAGAACTTCATATTTTACCCTTGATCAAATTCTGAATGTTCACAGAAACTGGAAGGAAGGTAGTTGCAAACTTGAAGGAAGAGCATAGAAATAGTGAAAAGTTGCAGTGATTTTCACACAGTAGGCCCTTTGGAAATACCTGTTGATGATGATTAAAGCCAAACTACTGACTAAATGCAACATGGTATCAGCTCAGGAAAGCTTGTTCCTCATGAAAATTTACCTGCTCATCCACAAAAATGAGTTTTGGTTGCACAGGAAGCTCTTTTCCCACTTCTCCATCTGAAGGCTGGACCAGGACTACGAGAGCAGAGGGCCTAACATATATAACGTTCTTACTTTTAAAGATGCTTGCATTTCTGGAAGACAGAAAAATCAACAGAATGTCTGCAATGAAGCTCAAATACCACTGTAGTCACTTTCTCCATAACATTCATCCAGGTCAGCCAGCAAAAAAGATTCACCTTTGCCTATGTTACATGGGAGTAACTCTATGCCAAAAATTTTATTATTTCTGAAATGTTTGTTTAGCCATAATTTTTAATAAATGCATGGAATTAGAGGAAGTAGTTCTGAATTTATTATTTTTTTGAATCATGACCAGCCTCCCTCCCACCCCATGCCTCAACACTGAAAACCAAACAAGCCGCAGTGAAGGAATTGCTCAGATTATCATATGTAAAGGGCAGCAATGTGTTCAATACTGAGCTATTAAATCAGCTCTAGCCCCCAAATGCCTTGATCGCTAATGTGTTACAATGATAAAACCTCCAGTCCTGGTTGATTTCAAGAAATCAAGATACCATCAGTAGGTACAATATGGAAGGGATGCCCAAGAGCAAATGTCAGTACACCACTATTTTACACAGCATGGTTTGTTTAATCCTTTATAACACACTTTCCTGTTATATTTCCCTAGTGTGCCTGCAATAAAGAGGTTCAATAACTGTGGCACCAGTTGATCAACTTATTTTAATTTCATAAAGCACTTGGGTAAATAGTGCAATTTATCAGGTACTTAAAGAACACAACATATGGGACCGGCACGATTGCGCAGTGGTTAAGGTCCTCGCCTTGCATGCCCGGGATCCCATATGGGCACCGATTCTAATCCCGGCAGCCCCGCTTCCCATCCAGCTCCCTGCTTGTGGCCTGGGAAAGCAGCCAAGGACGGCCCAAAGCTTTGGGACCCTGCACCAGTGTGGGAGACCCAGAAGAAGCTCCTGGCTTCGGATTGGCTCAGCTCCAGCTGTTGCAGCTGCCTGAGGAGTGATTCATTGGAGGGAAGATCTTCCTCTCTGTCTCTCCTCTCTGTATATCTGCCTTTCCAATAAAAACAAAATAAATCTTTAAAAAAAACACAACATATGAAAACTCACTTTGTTATTAAAATGATACTATAAGGTAGGCCCTGTTATATATTAAGTAACTGAGTTCCAAGCAGGCTTATGTAACTTGCTAAGCCATTAGAAAGCATTAAATAGTGTCTGGAGTGGTTAGCAAATGAACTATATTGTCTCTCAACTCATTCCAGTATATTAATTGCTCTTTTAATTTAGCAATAAAGTGGGATACATCTAAAATAGATAATTTGTAACACTTGAAAATACCTCATACCTGGAGTTTGCATTTTTGGTGATGGAGCTAGCTTTATTAAAAGAACATTCTGCACTTATGTTTCCATTAATTCCACCAAAAATTACATATCATGCCATAGATTTGGCATTTTAATCGATATCCTAACATAAAGTATCCTTTGGTGAGTTAGCTTTTAAATAACCTGTTGCATACATAACAAGGCTTTTCTTTAAATAAACAAATTAATTAAAATGAGGTTGGGAGATTGGTCTAGCAATTAAGACAGCAGCATCTCCTATTGTAGTGCCTGGGTTTATTAATTCCCTGTATTAGTACTGCTGATTCAGATCTTTGAAATCTAGGGGTCTCAATTTTTGCCTCTTGTCCCAAGAGGTTACAAGAAAGAGTGGATGATCTCTCTCTCTCTGTTTTTTCTTTTCTCTCCATTGCTCTGTGGCTGTACTTAAATGAACATGTAAACGTAGCTTATCTTTCACCTTTTCTAATGCTCATGAGGCAATTGTCCTATTAACAAAACTTTCCCTCCCCTGTGCAAGTATGAGAGGGAGAAGAATTTGTTTATCGTAGGAGGGTTCTCAAGAGGTAAATGTGAAGATTGGTCCCCAAAATAGCAGAAGAGGAAATCTAATGGGGCACTGTACATTCCATTGGAAGCAACTGCCCTCTACCTGGGAATCCTAGGAATGGTGGGCTGAATGAGAGTATGCAACCCCAAAACTCCCTTTGGTCATGCACTAGCTAAGGCTTTGGACCTGCATGCTGGAATTGCTGCCTTGGGATCCAGCACAGGCTAGCCCAATCATCACTTTCTTTGTACAGCATAAGGGGCAGGGCTCCTTTGATTTTGTAAAGGGAGCAGTTTAAGCCACATTTTTAACAACTCATGTTATTATTTTTATTTTCTTTAGATTCCAGATCACTGAACAATTTTAACACTGCTATCTGATCCTACTTCTACCTTATTCTATTCCTTAAACTCTTTCTGATGAGGGATGGCAGCAAGCAGTCTAAATTAAAGAAACCAAAGGCCATCATCAAAGAGTCTGATGTAAGTACACTGCTGTCCAGAAAGGCGGGAATGGGAACTAGCCATCTGAACATTGCAGAAAGGCCTGTCCCTGATATACTTTAAGGTTTATTGTGAGCAAACATCTCTTATTAAATGTAAACAGCCTCTCACTGGAGGTCAGAGACTTGCTGCTACAGCATATCCCAAGGTAATACCACTTTAAGCTCCACATAAACTCTTAAGCAGTTTCTATCCTAAAACCTGACCGTAGGTGGTACAGTTTTTTACGATATGTTATAATAGTGCAATAAATCTGTTAGCTTAAAATCGAATCTCCGTGGCCTTTTAGAGAAATCATCATTAAATGCAGGGTCCTGTTAATGATGCCATCCAAGTGAAATTGTTTAATCTGCTAAGGGGGTGAAAGGTCACCAAATGAATTTTTTATAATACATCAACTTGACACGCAATAGGGAAAACTGTAATAGATAAAAGCAAAGGAAAAGGGCACTGTCTTCTTCTGATAGGTCAATAGCAGCCAAGAGAGTCACTCATCCACTTTCCTTTCACAATAGGGCTCCTTTTGCATTTAATATGGACACCCAATTAATACCTCAGCACCACAGACAACCTCATTTTAGGTGACTTATAGCAATTTCTCCCCCTTCCCTGAAATGAAAGTGATCACAATACATCATAGCATTGTGTGAATTAACGTTAATTGATTCAAGTTACCAAGCAATGATGGGCCACTTATATAATCTAGGCGTTATTGGGTGCTAGGAGGAATAGAAGGAAGATTAGATTCCAGTGTCCGTTGCTGTGACGACGGGAGTCACCTGACACCTTGTTAGACAGTTGTAAGGTTCTATTGCTGGCCCCAGTGGGGTCGTCAGTAAACTGGAGTGATGTCCAAACATCATTACACGCTGCTCCAATATTAAAGCAAAGGGATTAGCAACTTATTGCAAGCAACCTGGATTTGTCATTGTGCTGTCGTTATCCAATTTCCAACAGCTAATGTGACTGTAGCCTGCAGGCAGAAGGACCTACAGCCAAACTTTAAAAAATAGGAAGGAAAGTTCTCTCCATCCCTCCCAGTTTTAACCACTTTTTAACAGCTTCCAATACCCAGTCAAGTATGTGGAAGAATTTTTTTTTTCTTTCCTCTCATGCTTAAAAGCAAGCTAACAGAGAAAATTCAAGAGAACACAGAAATTTCACAACTCATGACTATTCACTCTAGATCTTATTATTTAATGCACTAGATCAGAAATATTTGCTCTATGGAACACAGATTTTTTTCCATCTTATGACAAACCCAGCAAACTGATGAGCAAGCAAATGCTATTGGTGAAAACTGACACTGAGCAAAATCTACCGTGGTGGATGAATGGGCTGGGGCGAGGAGAGAGCCAAGACACTCTCTCCTTAAAACTAGGAAGTCTTTGGTAAAAGTCCCTTGGAGTATGAATAAGTGCTTCCAGGCGTCATGAGCATTTTCTCTCTTGTTTTAAATAGGCTAGATAAACAGAATAGTTTATATATATTAAAAATGAACTTAAAGTCTGGATGAGGGTGGGCTTTTGTTCTGGCAGTTGGGATGCTACTTAGTATACCTCTACACCATACTGGGTGTCTGAGTTCCAATCACAGCTCCGCTCTTGATTCCAGGTTCCTTCTAATGGACATTCTGGGAGGCAACAAGAGATGGCTCAAATAAATGACTTCTTGTCTCCCACACAGGAGCCTGGATTCAGTGCCAGCCTATGCAGTAGTGAATCAACATATGTGATCATCTCTCTTCCTCTCCCTCTTACAATTAACAAATAAGTAGGCAGGTAGTAATTAAATAGTAAAGGCTTGGTAGTTCTGTACCCTGAGAGAAAAAAGTACTTTTTCTAGTCAAGTCCATTTAGTAAGCATATAAACTCCCTCACTGCATGCAAACTTTTCTAGGGTACTGTAGGATATGTAAAGATAAATAAAATCTCAAACCTCTGAGGCTCAAAAATGCACTTCTGTTTAAGTTTTATAAGACAAAAGTTTAATTTCTTGGCTATCCTCTTGAATTAATGCATACCATTTGATTGAGCCTACAGGATCTGTTTGCTCTTGATTCAACCTATCCAGGTTCCCTAAGTGGCTCTGCCATCTCAGGATTAAAATTGCTTATTCTGACATGACAGTTTACTTCTGGTACTACAGCCTAGTGGTCATAACCTTGGCATATTGGAAGCACTCAATACACGTCATTGTAGAAACAGTTTTCTACTTCATGCATTTCATGTGCTTTTGATTCACTAAATACATTTGGAAAATAAGCATCAATTTTTTTTTTTTTAGCCAGCATTCAGGTTTTGGTACACATCTCAACCAGTGTGCTTAATAATCCATCGCAATACTCAAGAGTAAACTCTTGTGAAATCGTTGGAATGTACTGGTTTAATCTGTGATTTGAGTGACCCCAGGTATAGGTTACAGTGTGACAGAAGTACATAAAGACACAGAAGTATAAGTAAAGTTTGCTTTATAATTAAAAGCAAAATTTTAAAGAGAGCCAAACCTAAGCATTTTAATTGGTAAATCATTTAAAATACTTTTCTATAAAAATAAAAATGGTATGAATAGTATATAAAATAGAATAACTCAATGTTTTTTAAAGATTCTGTGCAAGATATTCACAAGACTCTTTATACTGAGCAACTGCACTCAGAATCAGAGATTTTTGTTTACAGAGTATGCTCAGGAAATAGAAGTCATTCAGATGAAAGGCACTCAGTACAATACATGGATGAAACACATAAGAGAAATGATTGACTATATTTTACTATTTGAAATCAACATTGAGTGATCATTTCTTGTAAATATTGATGCGCTTAAATACTGTGGGAATATAATATTAAGGTGAAAGTCTGACCACACAAGAAATATTTATAAAGATAAAAAATATTCAGTTCAATGAAAAATGAGCTAAATGGTGAAGCAAGTCCAGTTAAAAAATAGGGAATGAGATTTAATGGAATATATTCTCAATAAGTGGTTGAGTAAATGATGTCTTCTTCCGAGATAAATTTCAAATCTCTAGGTTTTCATTGGAGTCATATAATATCTTGTACATAACAATTGCTTAATATTAAGGGGATAAAAGCATTCAAATGTAAGCTGTCATGATTTGATTATACTTACCTAGCACTTCATCATATGCATACATAAATCTTAAATTATTTGATTTTGAAGTGTTGTGGTTCAATTTGGGAATTAGAAATACATGTGCATGGATGCAGCTATGTCAACAGCAACAATAGATAATAATTAAGATCATGTTCACAAGGAAAATAGCAGAAAAAACATAAAGCATAGAGCAAGAATTGAAGATTTAGTGGCCTGGGACCATTTAGTGTAAGAACAATAGTCCCCAAGGGCATAACTGTGGAAAGAGGGCTGTGAAATAAATGATAGCTTAAATGATTATGAATCATCAATAAAGATTTGAATGGTCTGCATATATCCCATTTAATAAGGCTAACTACTATGTAACTGAATTTTTTTTCTTAAGATGTGAAGACATTGGAAAATGCTGCTGATTAAGGATTAATTTTAATTATAGAAAGAACTTGTTTGTGTACAATGTTTTATTCTCCCACAGAGACATATGCATGAAATATTATTATAATTTTACTGTTGAGACAAACAAAATAGTAAAAGGAAAACAGTGGTATACAGATATTCTTTGATTATAAAGTTTTGGGTTCCTTCCAGAAGGAAGGAGAAGCTGGCAATTAAGAATCTCTTCCAGGAAGAACAATTTGCCAGTCCTCAGAAGGATATTCTTCCATTTTAACGGAGAGATTCTACCTCTGTGTGCTCCAAACAAGTGTTTCCTGAAAAGCAGGTACTCAGGTAATACAAGGAAGATGAAGAGGGAAGACAGTCAATGGAATTTAGTGCCAACAGGTTTGTGTAACTCACTAAATTTCCTAGTTTTCTTCTATATCCCAAGTTTGCTTGACTGGGTGCTCTACATCTGAGCAGAGGGATCTAAAAATCCATTAATGCGATAAGCACGCACACACATACACAATTATACGCACACCGGCTTTCCTGCAGTTTTACGTTCACTCTCACTCTAACAGTTTGCAGGGACAGGGTTCATGGCAATGTCTGCAATAAAATAATGTTTGTGAGATAACAGTGATTTTCTATTGCCGTATAGCAAATTGCTAAAATGTTACTAGCTCAAAATAGCAAATATTTTATGCACAAGCGATGCGTCAGGAGTCCAGATAAGACAGAGTGCTTGTGTTCACTGCTAGTGCAGAGCTTGTCAGAAAGAATCATCCTCCAAATTCTTTCAGGATGTTGACACAATTCTTTCCTTCTTGGTATAGAATTAAGATCCCACTTCCTTGCTTGCTGGCCACCAACTGTCATTCTCTACTTATATAGCTTCCTTCTGTTACTTACTTTGTTATACCTCTTGCAACTTAAAAGCTGTGGTAATAATATGCTTCTCATGTTTTGGAACTTCCCATCTTCCTTTTCTTCTTTATTATACCACAGCAGAAGAAAGGTAATGTATAGGCCCGGTGTAATGCCCAAGCAGCTAAAGTCCTTGCCTTGAACATGCCGGGATCCCATATGGGCTCTGATTCTAATCCTGGCAGCTCCACTTCCCATCCAGCTCCCTGCTTGTGGCCTGGGAAGCAGTCAAGGATGGTCCAAAGCCGTGGGGTCCTGCACCACCATGGGAAACCTGGAGGAAGTTCCTGGTTTCAGATCAGCACAGTTCTGGGCATTGTGGTCACTTGGGGAATGAATCATCAGGCAGAAGATATTCCTCTCTGTCTCTCCTCCTCTCTGTATATCAGACTTCGCAATAAAAGTAAATTTTTTTTGAAAAAAAAAAAAAGGTAATGTACCTGATTGAGCCAACTTGGAAAGCCCAGGATGTTCTCCCTTCCTGGAATGAACTGTGTTAAGATATCACAGAATATCTTAACATATTGATAGGTTCAAGAGATGACAAAGACACAACTTTGGATGGCAGCCTGTGATTCTGTAAATCACAACAGTTTTGGCATCTCAATAGCTAATATTCTATAGGAGACACATATTTAATTTTACTAAATGGCAAAGTAAATTATTTAGATATTTTTTCTAGTATGGGACTTGATGAGGCAAGAAAATTAAAAATATTAAGGAGAGAATGACTTTCGAAAGAGCACAAGGACTTAAAGGGAAGGCAAGCAATGCAGAAATTGTCCTTCCAAGAGAAGACAAATAGAAGACAATGTATACAAACAGTAGCCTCTTGGGGAAATCCTAGTTTAACAAGGACGTGTGTGTGTGTGTGTGTGTGTGTGTGTGTGTGTGTGTCTCCCTCTCTGCATTCCTTGTTCCCTCCTTCCCTCTCTCTCACTTTCTCTTTCATCTCCACTGTAGTTACCTCCTAAACATTAAAAATTTAAAAACATATAGGAGTTCAGAAAATAAATGACAACACAGGTCAATGACATTTTCAAAGCATAGGAAACAGTGGAAGGATATAGCAAGCTGCCAGTCAAGACCATGAGAGGACAAGCCACTCTGTATTAATTCACTTAAAAGTTGGTGATAAGTCCATTTCTCTATGCACTAAAGAAGTTAGCAACTTGCTAAAAGTAGCCAGTATTACCCTGGAAGTGTACCTAATATAATCTGAATGTATTGAACTAAATGCAACCCCATATATGCTTCAGAAGAAACCCTTTCTTATCTTTCAAAGATTCACTGTGCTATTTGTCAAGAAAATCTCTGTGAAAATTTTAGAGAAATAGATGGCAAATATAACACATCACAAAAGAAAATTAGTGCTGTAACATATATGTTCAGTACTAAATCAGAAATATCTAAGTCAAAAGTGAACATATGTGAAATATAAAGATTATTTCTTCTCTGCAGTTGTCTTGCCTCTCCATAATAAGATGATATCCCTAACATGCGTGAGTGTCCCAAACCCACTCGCCACACTCTTTCATATACATAGATTGCTTTAACTTGTTGACTTTCTTTCATTCTGTTCAAAAGCCTAGATATTCACTGAATATTTTATAATACTACAAAATGTTAAAAGCTAGTAATTTTTGGAAAATGATTTTTAGGAAGTCAGTACTGTAAAAAGTAAATAAAATTAAGCAATGGGTACACATACATGCAATGTAGGACTAGGACTTAAATAGGATCTAATCAAAATGGGCTTTATAAAAGGAAAAGAAAATCACACACAAATATGTTAAGATGTATTATCTGCATCTTTTTTCAGAATCTGAATTTTCATGCCACTAAGCATAATATCATGATATCTTTAACATGATGAGGATTTGGTTGTTGGAAAAAACGTGTTAAGATTCAACAGAATGTGAGAAATTATGAACTGCAAGTATTTTCTAAATTCTAAAGTATTAAAACTAGTTAAGATTAAGATGGAGAGAAAATTATTTGACTTCCCTTTCATCTTTTGTATGTTTTAATACAGGGTAGAAAAGATGAACACCTACCTCCCAAGAGGGGGAAAATATAATATAAAAACCTAATTACACTTTGATTTCAGTGTTCCTCTGTATGTAGACATGTAATCAGTGTTAGTCAAATTTGCCCTAAACCATAAAAACACATCTTTTGGTTCTGCTTTAATTTCAGTTCTAGTGAATCCTGTATTTTTTGGAGATTGATATAAACTAGTAATTACTATCTATTAAATTTGAGTTCCTTATTTATTAGCATTACCACAGAAGAAAGAGCAGTAACAAATATTTGCTCCATTTCAGCAACCCTAGACCTAGTAATACAACATACATTTGTTTTTTGCATAAACAAATGAATAAAGCAAATTGCTTCAGAGTTTCTTCCTATATGCTTTTTACTTTAAGATATCAGAACACAATGTCTTTCCCACCTGGAAATAAAACTGTCATGAGGTTGTCAGTTTAAGAAACAATGCAAAAGTTAATAACTTAAGTATCCAAATGGCTCTGAATGCTTTTTCTTATCTTTAAAAAAAGGGCAAGTAATAAGATTCAGTGTACATAGATCAACCTTTACAATATATATATATATTAATATTTACTAAAAAAAATCAGTCCTCATTTTGATTATAATTCTACTTACCCATAGCCAATGACTTCCTTTGACTGAGTAACAAGTAAGGCCCCTATAGTCGTATTCAGAACATTGTTTAACACTCCAGTCTGTTGAGCAATAATGAGTTGGTCACTCAAATTCTGTAGTTTGTTTCTTGACAAAGAAGGAAACAGGCCAGTATCCCACACAGTTGGAAGATCGCCAATTTCAATAACAATCACTGTTGAGACCACCTCTCCTGTTGGTGGTACTGAGGCCCAGGGTGATGAGTTCAATTCCATCATAAGAGGTCTGCGTTGACCAACTCTGACATAATGGTTTGTACAAGCCACAGTTGGGCAATTGCGTCTTCTTTTTGCTGCAATGTCAGCTATGGTTTCTAAGGTTTCTTCATTGCCAGATATCTTATGAACAACTCTGATTTGATTTTTGCTGATATGTAAAAAGTCAGTCAGTTTTTCAAGCATTAATACTTCCCAACTGTTTTCTACCACTGCAGACCTCACAGTGAAAGCCAAATGAATGGAAACACCTGAATGTATTTCAACAGGCTCCTCTCCTTGTAGGACAATATACAAAAAGTTATCCATAATGTTGAAATAGTTGGTACCTATGGTCTCATTCAACAATGAGGAATCTGATTTAATGAAAGTTGGTGGAATAAAAGTTCCCTGTAAGAAAACTTGGGGACTCTGGAGCTCATGGTAAAATATAGCCAAGAGAAGCTTGGAGTAACTTTTGTTCCCCAAGAGATAAAACTGCAAAATTGGAGGAGTCTGATCCATGAAACAGACCTTGGTCAGTTGCTCAGTGGGTAAAATGGAATAGAAAGTTGATGCAGACCTAGAACTGGAACAGGGGGTGTTGGCATTTGCACTAGTGAAGGTGTCAACAAAGCCATTAGTTATAGACACAACTGGATAGAATTTTTGGATTGAGGAAGACACATCAACATTGTCAAGGACTAGGACTACTTGGTCTGTTTCCTTGCAGATGAAGCCTTGTATCAGTGAATGGTATGTGCACTTCTTCTTCTCTCTAAATGTACCTATAACATAAAGAAAAGATAAATGAGTGACCTACAACTCACATTTTCTCAAACTTATATTTAACATTTTAAAAATTAAATACCATATAAAAATGTATATATCCATGGAGTACAATGTGGTATTTCATTGCACATGTACTTTTTGTGATGTCCAATCACAGCAGATACATAATCTCTCCAATTATTTAACATTTACTTATAAGGATAACATACAAAATCCTACATTTCAGGTTTTAATAGGAATATACATAGTAGATTAATATCATCTATAGTTACTCTGCTGTGCAATAGAAGCTTCTCATTCTAATCCAGCTACAACACAGTACCCATGTTTCAACCTTTAATTCATCACTCCAGCCATTACCTGCAACCTCAACAGACATTTACCAAATATGTCAGTGTGCTAGATAATGCCTATACAAAGACATCTGGAACAAAATCTAAAAGTCACATCTATAACAGTTGTTAAATGTACATAGATGTTGCTGTCAAGGTAACAGCCAGCTTCATGTCCATGAGTGTCCCTTGAGTTTCCATTTTACAGCCAGCCTTGCATCCCTCTTTCTATCACACTGCTATACCCACAGCAACCTCTCCTTTGCTCACCTGTAATTTTGTCACTTTAAGAATGCTGTATAAATGGAATCACATGGTCTATAACTTGTGGGGATGGATTTCTTCCCCCATCAGCATAATTCTATGGAGAATCATCCAGGTTGTTGTGTGTAGCAATAGTTTATCTCTTACTGTAGTTAACTAGCCCTCCATGCACAGATGTACCATATATGATGTAATTATTCACTCATTGCAGGACATTCAAGCTGTTGCCAGTTGGGGCTGTCATGGATAAAGCTACTATATAAACATTCGCATCCAGGTTTTTGTGTGAGTGTAAGTCTCCTTCTCTCTGGGATAAATGTACAGCAGTGTAGTAACAGAAACGCATGATGATTATACATTGGCCTTCGAAAGGTGCTGCCAGCCTTGTCCATCATATGTGAACCACTGTGCATCCCCACCAACAATGTTTGAATGATGTGGTTTATCACTAACATTTGGTGTGGTCACTCATAATTATTTTAAGATACTCTGATGAGTGTGTAGTGATAGATTATTGTGATTTTGATTTGCTTTTCTCTAATGGGTAATGATGTTAATAAAACATATTTACTATAAAAATGCAAATATTACATGATGCAATTTATAGCTCACAATTGAGAAAATAGGTAAGTATAATATATAGACAACTAGAAGAATTAAGACAAAGGAAAAATAACACAGATTCTGAAGAAAAAAAATGTTCTTTCCTATTCTTATTTACTCATTAAAACAGAACACCAATTGTCCATCAAATACCAACAGGATATCATTCAATTTAATTTAGTTATGACATCATCTACCCAGAGTTAGACCACGTAACATAGAGTAAAACACAGTTCTACAGGACTACTCCCACTTCAGATGCCTGTGGCAGTCTTCTTACGGCATTCCTGTGCCTCTAATCAACTAGGTAGGAATCAGTGCTCCCCCAACTGTCTTCTTAGTTTTCCTTACTAGAGATTAAGAACCTTGGGAAGCTCTTAACTTATGTATATTCATTTGTTATAAAGGATATTGCAAAAGAAGCAGATAAACATCCAAAGTGAGTCTTCGGAAAGGCATGGGGAAAAGGTAATTGAGATTCCATACTCTCTCTGTGACTCTCCAAGGGCCTCACTGTACAGCCTTCCAGAATTCTCTGATCTGATACTTTTGGTATCATGTGGTGAAACAGACTCAATAACTGGTCATTCATGACCACTTGAGCCTTCAGCCTTTTCTTCACAGAGCAAGTGTGAGACTGAAAGTTCCAACCTCTACTCGTAGAGTTGGATCTGGCAATGACCTACCATCCTGAGGCTATTAGGAATTTACAAGGAGATGTTCAGGAAATTCCAAGAGATGTAAGACCTTTGTGTCAAAATCCTTACAATTCAGGAAATTACAATGGTAGTCTTAGGAGTTCTGTATTAGAAACAAAGGGTTTCCAAGTACTAGAACAAAGGGTTTTCCTAGCACCTGTACCTTAAAGAGTTCTAAATTAACTTGACCTCAAGAATCACTATATCATATTATGATATCACAATGTATTATATCAAGATCTATTATATCACCACTTCACAAAATGGCTCATCTTTTAAACATCAGAATTGAATTTAGCTTCTCTCCACTTAGTATTACTAGCGTAAGACTTTGGAGTTTGCACTCCTGCATGAATTCTGGGAGGAAAATTATAGCAGCCATCATCTCACAAGGTCAATGTATATAAAACATCACATTGTATACATTACATATATACATGTATATAATTTTATATGGTAATTATAATTCATTAGAATTTGAAAAGAATAACGTATATATAATTAAAAAAAAATAATTTAGAAAAAGAAACACAAACCCCAATAAGAAAAAGAAACAATAAACAAGAGAAATGAAGATAAAACAAAAAACAAAACAACAGAGAAGGTGAATCATATGGTTCTTGCAAAAATAAACAAAATTAGTTAAATTCTCAAACAGAATAAAAAAGTTTCAGGATTGAAAGCAGTAGTATGGATACAGATCCTACAAACAATAAGAAACAATTATAGAAAAAAATTATACTAATAAATTCAAAACCAAAGATGAAAAAGAAATGAGAGCCCGAATATACAAAGGTCACATCGTATAGAGCACCAGGACTCAGATCCACAGTCCAGTGTGACAGTGTTAGAAAGTAAACCGACTCTGCAACGACCCTTCTAGAGAATTCCATGATAATCTCTAAAATCAAATGGTCAGAACCATGATTAATAACTGACAGCTTCCCAATTTTTTTTCCAAATGATTTCCTAATTTTGTCCCAGTTTCTAACTCAGAAACAATCATGGAAAACCGAAAAACCGACTACGTGCCCATAACCAAGCCTATAAAATACCCCACTTCTAGGTTGTCTTGCCTGTAGCTACTTCAGGCCAACAGCCTCTAACCAGGCATACTCATTATCCGGAGTGGCTAACACAAGAAAGTGGCTGCTCCCTCACTTGGAGCAAGTTTGTAATAAGAAGCCTTTGCCTATTCTCCTCCTGATGGCCTTTGCTTGCTTAGCCTAAAAGTGAGGGTTTAAAAGAGTTACCTAGCTTGATAAGAATTACAAATAATGGAGAAGAAAATGGCTTTCAGCGATGAGGAGCAATGCTCCTGTGCCAGTTTAAAACATATGAAGGAGGGGAAAATACATAGTAAACAAGCCTCCAAGCCGCAGAATTTTTACTTACTGGGTATTATATACTGCATAGAGCATGGGAAAGCATGAAACCCGAAGCGCGCCTCACAGTGTGAAGGTGTGTCAAAAGGCTTTGAAACCACTATCATCGGGGGTATGGCTAGGGTCTGGGTGAAGCAAAGGATCAAAAAGTGTTATTTGAAGATAAAGAATGTTTCCTGATCCCAACTTCAGAAATCTATACAGCCCTGAGAGTACATCTTGGAGGAAGGCAATAAAAGTCTGAATAAACTCATAAATCCCTTCGGAAAGACATGCATTCTGAAAATAGTATGTCGTGAGTGGTAAACTTTGGAATAGTGACAGAGGCCAGCAAAAACATCAAGCAAATAGTGCATCTCCATACTCTCTTTGAGCAGTATGGAAATTAGGATCTCCCTTCCTCCCTCTTTCCTTTTTTTCCTCAAACCTTTACCTAAAATGTAAGTATTGTAGCATCTCATCATTCATCTTCCTATTTTATCACTAGAATTAATCAATTCTGATGTTTTAATTCAGTGATTAACACTGGAGGAGTTCCCTGGAATTCCAGCGCTGCAAGATGGGTGTAGTCCGAATTGTCCGAGGGCAAACACTATGTGAGAGAGGCTATGGCTACGGGCAGGCAGACCTCACAGTTCAGACCCCTAGCCACAGCCAAGAGGACTTCAATGTGACCAGCTAGGCTAGCCTTACTATGGAGCAGCATTCCACCTTTCCCTCCTCTCTTTTCCTTCACACTTCTCTTATTTGGGGAAGGCTTAGCTTTGTGCAATGATTATCTTTCTCACTTGTTTTTGTCTTTTCTCTTCCCACTTCTCTAAATGGCCTTATCTGCCAGTCACAATTTTGGTGCTCTGCAATTCTGATCACTTTTAAATGAAACCCATGCTGGCTTTGGTAATCATAATGTCATTTACAATTTACCACTAAACACGTTTATTCAGTTAGCAGCACACTGGAGAAAGAGAACTCCATATGAACTCACCGTGAAGGGCCTAATCTGATTATTTCCTCATGAAAATCCAGGCAGGGGTGCTTGTAAGAGGGGGCTGAGAGAAGGAGAAAAAGCCAGGTCTGGCCACAGCTGACTTTGATAATCAATGTGAATAGATAAGTGATACAGCCTGTTAGGGCCGCCGCCCAGGCACCCCAGGGCATTCCTCTCAGAAAGGGAAGAGTGGACAGGACTTAATAAATGCTGAGTGACCACTGACTATTGGCTTGGCATACGCTATTGCATTCAGGATGGACAAGAGCAGTGATAGAGTCCAGAAGCTCTTCCCTAAGTGGGGGAAATTAGATTAAGCAGGTTGTATTTGTGTGAGCACATGTGCACATAAGCACTCGTTTTGTATATACTCCACCGTTCGAAAACGCCCTGGACATACAATGTGCTCCCTCTAGGTTGGAAATCGTAGACCTTAAAGCCAAGACAGGAGGCAAGCTAAGCTTGTGTGGCGGAGCAGAAGGGAGAAGGTGGGTTTGCATGTGTGTGAGTGTGTGTATATATACTCAGGTTGCTTCCAGGGTTCTAACAAATATTAACTTTGTGTCAATATTTGTCCTTCCTGTCGTGAAATGAGGATTTTCCACCTCATTTCACGTTTGAAAAGAAAATATGCCAAAGGGGTTGTATTTGTTAGGGGAAAAAATTAGAAGAAAAGAAAAAAAAAAAAAAACAAAACAAGGAAACAACTTCTAGCTTTTTTTTTTT